ATTGGGCACCTTATTTAATTCCTAACTAATTAAGAGTGCGTCAAACAAAACCTCAGAATTCCACCATCTTTCTACACCTACGTGCCAGTTAACTATTTTTAGGGCACATACCTATAATATAAACGAACTTTATTTTAAAATACTACGTAATAGTACATCTCGTTGGTTTCAGAGAAGAGTATTAGTATACACGGCGACTCAGAAATTATTGAAAAAAATGGGAATAGATGCATCATGAAAAATGAAGTCAATATCATAAATGTTTTTATACAGGGTGTCCCATAAGCACTTGGTCAAAAAGGTACTGCGACATTCTTTGGCTCAAAAGAACACGATTTAACCTAACTTTGGCTCTTCTGCTATTGACTGTCAAAGTTCTTGAAAAAATATATATTTTTTGTAATATGTGGAGAATGTTGCGATGTATTTTAATGAAACTTGCTGTGGACTTGTTCCTAAGTAAGACTCATGTTTTGATTAAGCAACCGCGTCCATCCGCCTTGGACTAGTGGTAAATTCTTGAGTGTCTTGATACAAGAATTACCAGAACTTTTTATTTGGTCGCTGAAATCAATTCATTTTATTTTTATTGATGTATCAGTCCTTTTTCGAGATTTTCGTGCTCTTTGTAAAATCTTGTAGCATTCATAGTTTTTACACAAAAAATGTTTTCAATTTTAGACAATCATTATCATTACTACTCAAGTAGAACAAATACTCACTACAATCACTACTATCCTAGTACATATCTTAGTAAAATCTTGTAGCATTCATAATTTTTACGCAAAAAAAATATTTTCTGCTTCATTGCGACTTAACAATTTTAGATGTATCGGAGTAATTCTGTTCTTTTACAAGAAGCAGGTTTCTGTAATAATAGACAATTCTTTTACCTAGGATATCAATATTGAAAGTAAAATGGTCACAATTTTAAAGTCTGTCGCAATGCGACGGATTGAATATCATTTTACTTCATTAGAGTTATTTATTGTTAACACTCAAAAAATTTAAAGACGTACTTAGGAAAGACATAATTCTCTTTATTGAAACTGGATAATAGTTACATAGATACGATGGATGATGGTGGAATTACAAGACATGTTTGATATGTCCCTCATTTTCTTGGATGCATAGCTGGATCCTTCGATTGAAATTGAATTGAGCCCTCCTCAACGTTTTTGGATAATTCCGTATTACGTCCGCCTCGTTTTGAATCCTACGCAATAATTCTTCCTGGGATTACACAGGAGTAGCGTAAACTTTATTCTTCAAGGCTCCCCATAGAAAAAAATCTAACGGCGTTAAGTCGGGGGACCTGGGGGACCTGAGAGACCATTCGACAGAAAAATATCTCCCTCTTCTTTCGATCCACTTGTGCGGAAAAGTATTATTTAAATGCGCAGTTACATACATTTGCACTAAAGTGCGGAGGAGCACGAAGATCAAGAGGGACATCTTCCATTAGAACCGGAAAGGTATTCGTTAGAAAATTGAAATCATTTTCGCTATTCAAGCGGCGCGGCATGACATAAGGACCCAGAAGGATGTCACCGATGATTCCGGCCCAAACATTTATTGGAAATTCCACCTGAAAGTAGTAAATACGCCTCGCATGTGGGATTTCTTCTGCGTAATGGTAGAAATTACGTGAATTAAAGATACCACTTCTGGTGAAACTAGCTTCATCAGTGAATACAATTCGGCTGGTGAAATTTGGATCACGTGCCCGCGCTCCTTAAATAAAGGGGCAAAATTGAAGTCTTCTCTCAAAATGGTGTGATAAAAGCTGCTGAATAGACGTCGCATGATAAGGATGGAGGAGTTGCTATCTTATGATTCGATTAATTGTACTTTTTGGTACTCCAAATTCCACTGCCAGACGGCGAGTAGGTACTGATATTTGGATCTTCAGCGACCCTATTTAAAACGTCTCCCTCAACGGCTGCATTTTGTACTTGAGGCAGACCCACACGGTCAACGGCTCGAACACCAAATTGACCAATCTCCCGCAAACTCATTTCAATCCATGTAAATCGGTAATCTAGAACCCGTCGATTTGGGTATCGCGCTGCGTAGACGCATCCACTCCCATGCAAGTTGTCTTCGCAAAACCCCAAGACTTTGATCAATCGGTCATCTCTTCATTAGAAAACGCCATTCGAAACGAATGTGTCGGACCACACATAGGCAACTTTACTGGTAAGAGATTGAAAATTACCCCCACTACTTGACTCCAGAGCCCGAGAGGACAGCGATATGTGTCTGTCCTTTTTTAGACAGAGACAAAATAAATTTCTGTTGTCTCTGTTAGCATTCATTTTGAAATTTAACAGCTGACGCCGGAACATCATCATGATTTATACGTTACAATATAATTTTAGAATTTTCAGAAAATGTTATAATGTGAATGAAGAAATTATACGTGAAACATTGCCAATGACATCAATTTACAAATGAACTACATGGTGATTTACAAACAGTGACAAAAAATGAAACCTCGAATTCTTTAGTGAATTTTAAGGTAGGTCTTTCATATAAAGTTTTTGTCTAGGTCGGTTCACTAAAACAATCCAGTGTTAAATTAATATTTTTAATTTTTTATAACATTTTAGAAACTAGTGAGTGAAATAATTTGAAATTAATCACATGAATGTATGTAAATATTGTAAAAAATCGGAAGCATTTTCTTAAAAAACAATGTTCCAGTGGCTGAGATACAGGGCTTTATTATGATATTTTCGGATTATCCTTACAATTTTTTACAAATCACCACCCCTTTATGTTTTTCGAAAAAAAAACCATTTTCGTTGAACTGAAAACATTGTTTAAATTACAATAGAAACACTTTTTTTAATCTATTATTTAATCGAATAAAGAACATCTCATAGATGATTTTATTTGAGTAAATGCTCAAAATTACCTCAATTTGCGCAAACATAGCCTACTAATGTAACGATTAAACAGCATTGTATTCAAATATCGAAGTGTCTTCAGTTCATTTTTTAAGTTTTACTCAGGAAATCAGGCTTTTTTGGAAAAATATAAAAGAATAGTAATTTGTAGAAAATTGGAAGAGGAATGCGAAAATATCATGATTGTTACAATAAAGCAGCGGCATACCTTTTTATTTAGACAAATATTCCAGCAATACCCTGCAGCATTTATTTTTTAATTTTTATTATTTGTAAAAAATTTAAATATTTTTTAAATTTTAATACCCTGTATTTTTTTAACGAAACTTCCTAGATAAAAGCTTTATACGAAAGAGCCCTCTTAAAATTCATTAAAGAATACGAGGTTTCATTTTTGGCCAGTGTTTGCGAATAACCTTACGAATATAATGAGAAGTTATCGTATGCCCCTTTACACCCAATGAACTTATCTGATACCCCTCGTATGTGCAATAATTGCTCTTGAAAGTGTTTCTTACTCCAAACACCGATGGCGTATTTAATGCATTTTTTCATTGAGTTGCCTATCTATTTCTTACATAGTATATCTTATCTATGTGTCGGACTGTCGCGACCAACGTCAAAAGATTGACAATGTATTTATTATAAAATGACATCATCGTTTGCTACGATAGTAGTAGTTGTAGTGAGTAGTTGTTGTACTTGAGTAGTAGTGATAACGATTGTCTAAAATTGAAAAAAATGTTTGCGTAAAAACTATGAATGCTACAAGATTTTACCAAGAGCACGAAAATCTCGAAAAAGGGTTGATGCATCAATAAAAATAAAATGAATTGATTCCAGCGACCAAATAAAAAGTTCTGGTAATTCTTGCAAGCAAGTTTCATTAAAATCCATCGTAACATTCTCCAGATATTAAAAAAAAACATATTTTATTTCAAGAACTTTGATAGTCAATAGCAAAGGAGCCAGGCATTTCTTCTTAATGGAAGTTAGGTCAAATCGTGTTTTTTTTAAGCCAAAGAATGTCGCAGTACCTTTTTGATCATGTACTTATGGGACACCCTGTATAATCGTTATAGTTACCGAGAAAAAAATTATTGAAGTTGTAGTATTTTCAACCCTTTCATCGCTAGGCTACTCTAGTCTCTAGTGTCATTAGCGTTGTGCGCTGTGCACAATGCGCTTTTTCTCCACGTGACCCCAGAAGATTTTGAATACTGAAATCCGATTTTAGTATTAACATTTTTGCGATAGTGTTTACATTAGTTTTTCTAGTTTAAAAAATTACTTACATGTATAGCAACTAGGAGTTGATGGATATCGTTTTAATTTATGGAGGAGCAAGATAACATTTGTGTTTTCGTAGAAACTGGGTAAGACGGGGCAAAATGTGTTTACACGTCGGTTGACATAATTTTGAACAGTTGTAACATCAGGTATCTTAAATTATTTTATTAATTAAAAACACAAATTAATTTTATTCATAATTAACAACAATAGCGGCAAATGCAGTTAAATTTGCTGACGTTATGTAGGTGTTATAAAATTTTATTTATTTTATATTTTTTATTTATTTCTTTCCTTGGGAAGTGTATTTTTAAATCATTTTCGAACTGCCCTTTTTGATTTTTTTTTAATTGTATTTATAAGAGTCCCCTGTAGATTCAAAACATTTTTTTTTTTTGGATAAGTTCTGAATCTCCCTGTATGTAGACTTACTTTCTTTCCTTGGACGAAATAGAAAAAATTTATTAGTCGCATCACGAAAGGACTTGTGAAAATCAAAATCATCGTTTAAGCCAGAATACATCATAAATAACATTTAAATATTGATGTATTGAGTAGAAAATAGCTCTCTAAGTATATAAAGTTTGTAGGTACATATTATACAAACTGATTAGAGATCCTAGTTAATCCCAGGTATTATGCTTTAAAAATTCTTAACCTATTATGATGATACCATGCTGAGTATGGTTTTATATTTTTTATATTGCCGTATCTCCCAAGAAACTAAAAATAGTAAATATATTTATTGGTATATATTGCATTTATTGTATTCACTTTTACGAGATATAGGTAACGAAATAAAATTATCTATTACATTTTATTTGTTTTTATAACACTATTTAACAAAAATATTTTATAAATTACTGATAATTTCTTTTGTTGAAATCACAATTGCACTTCTTTGTACTGTTTATATGACTAGAAGCTCTCCTTTTTGTGCCATACTGTAAACGGAGGATCTTCAATATCGAAACATCTGGCAAAAAATTTATCTATTGTGTGATAAAGATGCCTGCTCACATATGTTAAGGAATGATTCTCATCTGGATAACTCTGAAAGATAAACATAATAATAGGTGCAAATATAGATCAAGTAATACGTGAGTCAAAGAATATATGTCGTGGCATGGACCTAGGAGCTCAGTGAATGTTAACTTATATACAGGATGTTACAAAAAAGTAGGTTAAGCCGTTATTTTCAGAATATTTGGGTGAAAATACAGGGTGTCAGAATTACAGTTGCATAGGAAAATGTTCCCCCGTTCATAATTCTATTTTTTTGGACCATAAAAAATAAAAATAAAAAATGCGTCTGCATAAGCTGACTATTTAAAAAACAGCAAAGTCTTCATAAAATTTTTGTTTTACCCAAAGAATCTGTGATCAACGCTTGACTTATTTTTTATAAGAAAATGTATAGTGCTTCAAAATTAAATCGCACTCTTTAACCCTTTATAGGGCATTAACTTGAATACAAAGAACTTGTTTTTTTAGTAATCTGAGATGTCATAATTTCAACGATTTTTTCTTAAACAAATTTTTTTTGTCACGGCTCAACTAAGCGAAAAAATGGGTGGTTACCATTTTGACCACTGCCCATTTAAGTAGTAGTGGGTAGTGGTCTCTATTTTAACCACCTTCCATTAAGGATCATATTATTATGTTATTATAATGCAACCTCAATCTAATGTACTAGGCAATGTAATGACTAGGCGTTAATGTCCTATAAAGGGTTAAAATAAAATAAATAATTTTTCCAAAATATTTATTATAATACGCTAAGAAATCGCATGAAATGGTTTGAAACATTTTAAGCAGAGTCCTACATCACGTGCTTCACAAGTTATCTTAGATCGAACTGGATTTATTTTTGTGCTACATTTTGCACGTCTATAGGTACCTGGAATGGGCAAATGTGTTCCAACTGCAGTATATTGAATTGCATTGCCAAGTATTATCGCACGACCTTCACGACCATCGTCCTTTTCAAGTCTTTTTATACCTGCTACAGTTCCACTTGCTTTTCTCTTACGACTGGTGAAAGACCCAATCAATCCATTTGCTAACATGCTTCGGAAATTGAGATATGACATTGGTTTCGCATGTACATTGTTTTTCTTTTGAGCTGTTTTGTAAATAATGTATGAGTTTGTTACAGCGGCATTTAAAAAATAGTTAAAGAGTTTTAATCCACCAGCGTCTAGATTTCCACTCAATTGGGTATGAAGCCATTAGCTGATCGAAACCATCAACTGCACCCATAAATTTGTTCATCATTTCATTTGTTCATGTGTTCATGTGTTCATGTGTTTGTTCATTTGTTCATCAATTTGTTCTTTGTTTGTTCTCAAAACCCCCCGTTTGGTGGGCTTCATCGGCATGTACTGCTTCAGATATGACCGACCTTTGAAGCCCACCATACTTTCATCAACGGATATGTTTCTGGAAGGTACGAAAGACTGTAAAAATTTCTTGTTTAGATGATCTACTAACGGACGCACCTTATATAATTTGTCAAACTCAGTGGTTCCTCGTTTGGGCATCTTCTCATTATCATTTAGGTGAAGAAATCTAAGTTTGCTAAGAAAACGTTTTTGTGACATAATATTATCTATCAAACTTCATATTGTTATCTACAGACCAATATAATCTCATACTAGGGAGGCTTTGGACACCCATTATAATAAGAATTCCCAAAAAGGCTTCAAGCTCTTCTCTTTCCAATTGAAAATGTTTGCCCTTCTGAGCTGCATATCTATGCGTTTCTTCTAATATTAGCTGGAACAGATCATCTGAGAAAAAATTGTAAAATAATATTATTGGTGACTCTAAATTTTCTTTGAGAGTAGGTCCAAAATCTTCGTCAAAGTGGCTCTCTTTATATTTAGATGGATCAATACAATGCTTTGTCCAATTTAGATATAATTCCTCGACATTTTGCCCTTCTATTACTGGATTTTCAGTCAACGGAATTTCGGACTGATCGTCTTGGGTAATATTTTTAGAAGCAGGGGTTACTGAATCTTTGGGGAAAAATATTTTCTTTGATTTTGGACTGTCAATGACTGACCTTGAACTTGAAGATTTATCGGTTTCGTAATTAGGATCAGCTACTGAATCATCAGAGCTAAATGCATTTTCACATTCTTCAAAAACATTTGAAGGTACTTTAGTTAATGCGGCTCTTCTGAGGTTACTTCTATTATTTTTCAAAATATTATATCCAGAAGTGCTAAAAGTATCAAGTGACCCAAGAGATTGACTAGGAGAATGTTCTGCCTGCATGCTTGGAGTACTTCGAGTAGAAACTGAAAGTTCACTAAAATCTACTGCATCGTCCGCTTCGCTGTCTCCGTCATATTCGGAATTTTCAGCCTGTTCTTCACTAATACCTTCTAGTAAATCATATATTGCATCACTGGGCATATTCTCCAAGTCTTGAAACTTAAAACTCGCCATTCTATAATAAAAACACCGTGTACGTAACAAAAAACTGTAAAATGCATAGTCAAAATTGAGGTTAAATTTTTATTTTTCAACTTTCAAGTCTAAAATTTCCTCAGCGCTGATATTTTTTTCAAAAGAAAAACTAAAACATGATATAACAATACTTACTTTTTATAACCTCGTGCTTAATTCACTATTTATTGGTAGGAGTCTTGAGTAATTCACAAAAACTTTCAGATTATACACAACTCGGCGCAAAGTGCTGAACAGGTGGCGGTTTGATATGTGACCACTTAATGCGCCGTGGGCATACATTATAGTTTGTGGTCAGCACTGGAACCATTGCGCGTTTAGAGCGCTCAGTTAGTACATTAGGTCGAGGTTGCATTATAATAACATAATAATATGATCCTTAATGGAAGATGGTTAAAATAGAGACCACTACCCTATAAAGGGTTAATAAATGTATTCTCACCAAAATAAATAGAAAAGTTTCTGTCAAAGGAGATGCGCAAATATTTTCTTACAAAGTGGTGATGCTAACAACAAATTTACATTCGTAATTTACACAGGAGAACGAAATGTGTCGCGATATTTCTTCAGATTCTCTTGGGATAATCACAATAGTTATTTGGTTAAACAAGTTCCCAACTGATTGCCATGTCATCGGTTTACATTTAAAGTTCCGAAAGACAATTGTTTCCAAACTTTCATGTCCTCGTCTCCGTTAAATGTTATGTATTTTTTTAATTATTGTTTATTAGATGAATTTTCTATTAAATAACCTGACAGTACCTTCTATAACACCTCGGTGAAAATAGGGACAGTCTTTACCAATGTAAGCTGCAAATGCGATGTTCTCCAATACCCCAGTTTGTATAGCGTTTCATGAATGTACACGGTAATTCACGCAACTTTCTACTCACCAGATCTTTTTTTATATTTGTAGGAGATATATAAAAAAATAGTTGACTGTTGACAGAAAGGTAAAAAAGGTGAGGGGGGTTGAATGATTATTATGACTGTCTATACAGTGTGTCTTCGAGTAGGGTAGCGCACTCTTGTAAACTTTTTTATTGTTGATTTTTCGAGAAAACGTTATTCTTGATAAGAGTTTTCTTATCTTTGTATCAAAAATATTTTTTTCCCAAAAAATCAACAATAAAAAAGTTTACAAGAATGAGATACCCCATACGGAGACACACTGTATATTTAATTTTCAATGTTTTGAAAATAAACTGTTATTTCATAACATCATTTCTAACAAGGTTTGTCTTTGTTGGTTTTAGCAAATCATTTTTAAGAGAGCCTTACCTGCTGTCGGAAATCGACATCTGCATGTTCGAGGGCCTTTACCAATGCCATGGCGTTTTGGTAGTGAACGTTATCATCAGCATTGCCGTGAATTATGAAATACCGCCTTCCTCTAAAGGCTTCCGCTTCCCTAGTTACATCTGTGTTGTTATATCCGATTTCATTGTCTTCTGGGGTCGGAAGACCCATGTATCTTTCTGTATAAATTGTATCTAAAATCAAAATAATTTTATTACCTACATTGTGAATATCAATAGTTTGACCGGTCGACAAAATTATATTACAACGATGTCCTGTCACACACTAATCTTGAACAAATGAATCCTTAAGGTTAGGATATGCAGTAGAAATACTATTATTACCTGCAATTTATTTTTAATAAAAAAGTAAGCGGTATTATACCGGGAATAAGTGGGAAATGTGTCGGGTGATAGAACAGATCAGATAGAACACGAAAAAAATAAGATGACAAGTTCCTATACAATTTTTTCGTACAGTCCCTTCCTATGGAGATATGTGTCCTTGAAGAACGCCGCTGGAAATCGGTTTTTCTTGAAATTGTATGTGATGGACACTAGTAAGGACCTTTTAAAATAGTGTTCTTGAAACATATTTAGCTTTTTTAGTTTACCAGGGGCGGGCTAAGCTTTACAACTTAGGTAATGCCTAAATTTTTAATACCCTGTATGATAAAGACTTTAAAATAATAAATCTGGGTAGCTTCAATCTTATACTAAAAAAAGGGTAGTGTTGTTTATTGTAGATGAAATGAACCGTTTACGAAAAAGAGAATAAACGAATTCATGTTTTATTTTTAATAAAAAGGGCCATGATTTCTGTTTTTTTTTTCTCGAACAAAGTGACATCGCTGATACATTGACCCTTCGTTATTAATTTACCGATTTTTGGATTTCGTGGTGAATTTAATTGTGAATTAATTCGAAATATGGAATAAACGTTTATTGAGTATGCAGATATGCATCTCATGTATGGTCTTGCATCTTGCAATGCTTTACAAGCCAGGTTATATAACGACAGATATCCTAATCGTGTTCTGCCAATCCAGAAGACATTTCAATGAGTTGACCAACGTCTAAGGGAGAATGGTGGGCGATTCCAGTTAATAAGGTAATACATATTATTGACTTTCTTCATATTTGTAGGAAATTTTGGAAAAAATAGTACTGATGCTAGTCTGAGAGGAACCGTACGTACGCCGCAATTAGAGGAAAATATTTTAAATGCTGTAGAAGACACTTCATCAACGAGCACTCGAAAATTATCAGCACAGTTTAATGTATCAAAAATAATACTACATGAAGTTCTTCAAGAACAGCTGTTATATCCATACCATTTGCAAAAAAATACATGTACTGATTCCTGAAGATTTTCGTCGTGGAATGCAGTTTGCAAACTGCAACGAAATGATCTAAACTTCATTATCACTATTCTTTTCATGGATGAAGCAAGATTTACCAAAAATGGTAGCAGCAATTTACACAACACACATGCATGGGCTGATGAAATTCCTCGTACTACTATTGTTTCGCATCATCAACATCAGTTCCAATTAATTAACATCTGGGCAGGAATCATTGGCAATTTTTTTTATTGAACTATTCGTATTGCAGGAACGATTGAATGGACAACTATATTTGGAGTTCCTTCAGAACGCTTTTCAATATTTAATAGAACACTTATCAATTGAAACCCGCCGAAACATGTACTTCATGCACGATGGGGCACCACCTTATTTCAGCGTAGGAGGACCTTTTGCCTGGCCTCCTCGATCTCCCGACCTAACGCCTCTGCATTTTTTACCTGTGGCGACACCTCAAACAATTGGTGTATTCCACTCCGGTCGACACTAGGGAGGAACTTCTATAGAGAATCACGTTTCATTGTGATGTGATAAGGGACAATGCTGGGTTATTGTGGCGGGTACAGCAGTCGTGCCCGCGAGTGTATCAGACTTCACGGAGCCCATGTTGAACATAAAGATTGAATTTTGTATTAAAATCGAATTAAAATCTTAAAATTAAACTTTCCTGTTGTTTGTATGACTTTTGTATCGCACTTTGTTGTCGAGAAAAAAAATAGAAATCATGGCCCTTTTTATTAAAAATAAAACATGAATTCGTTTATTATTAACTTGTCATTTTATTTTTTCATGTTCTATCTGCACCCAAGAGATTTCCCACATTTTCCCGGACACCCTGTATACTATAAATAATGAATAGTAAACGTTTATAAATGGATACCCATCAGTTAGTCTTACCGTAATAAATGAAACTTGTAACGGGAGCTACAGCAAGGGCAAAGTTGAAGATGTGCTCTTTGTCTTTTACCAAAACCCAACTTGAAGCGAAACCGCCGTAACTCCATCCCCAAATGCCTGTTCTGCTTGCATCGATGTAGGGGCAAGTTTCCTGAAGGTATCTGTAAAATACAGAATATATACCTAGCTTTTAACATTAAAAGTGATTTCTGCCTTAAAAACGAAAAAATAATAAAAGGGTAATATTGATTACTGAAGGTTCAAAATCCCGTCAAAAATGGAATGCATAACACAATTAGGTACTTAACAATAGTTGAAGATACAGAACCTTCATGTATTATAACAAACTACGTGACCCCCGAGCTTTAATTGCCAACATGAAGGAAATAAAATTACTGTTCCAAATAAAATTACAGTTGGACAAAATTTAGCTCTTTCTCAATCCAGTTTTAAAGGATATGTCCTTGCAAATCCCTTAAGGAATGAATATTCACTTTCTCTTTATTTTAACCAGGCTAATTTTCAACATAAAAAAGTGAAAGAGATGCAAGAAGCGGATATATTTTAATAGTTGTCAATTTGTGATGTCTTTATCTCGGGAACTTGTAGCAAATTATTGAACTATACATAACCAACATAACTAAAACATTTATTTTACATGGTCAATGTACTTTTCGAGTGGAATAACCATTTTGATGAACGAGATTACTTTTTAAGATTTTTTGGTATCTTCAAATTCCATTCATCTACAAGCCGGAACACTAGGTCGAGGAACTACACCATTGAGAGAAAATGTGTCACGAACAAGAATATCGAACTGACATCAAAAGAACACATAAGGACAAGAAAAACTGAATACTTTGCAACGACCTGTCTGCTTTGCATATAAAAAGGTACTGACAAGATCGGCCGCATCGTAAGGGAACAGCCTGTCCAAATACCAGCTGCAGAAACGACCTTTTTCCAAGACTTACGGCATCCCGTTGGACATTGGACACAGGAAGACACAACAGTACGAGATTAAGGTGTCTCTTGAAGAATAACAACGTAGAAAAATCACATACCTAATACTAGAATAATTCTAGTGAGATAAATAAGATTTCGACCAATACTTTACAGAAAGACAATAGAAATCCAGAAAAATTGATAGGAATTTTAATAAAGACAATATGTTAGAACTACCTGAAATTTAGAAAAGACCAGAACGGCAAATATCGATAACTTCAAGCTATGTATCGGAACGTCTGAGAGTTCTGCTCACGTCAGCTATAAATAGCACTCAGTTTCAGATTCTTATGGGGAAGAAAGCGATATGTCACGAAAAATCAAGAAGTCTAAGTCAACCATTAGAGATATGGGACAAGAGGATCCGTCTAATAATAATTAAACACTGTCAACAGATATTAACTCAATGGTGGCAACCAGTTTCCAATTAGGCCGCTGTTTTTAAATCCAGTCCAAATTTTGGATTTTGCAGGTTGTTAACGAAACTAAATAATGAAAATAAAAAATTCCTATAACTGTGAGCCTGAAGAACCTTCATTTTCGAGAAACATGATATTGTAATTAAAAATAGGTATATATTATTATATCTCTTGAGATTCTTGACACAGATTGATAAAACATGTGTTGACTACTAATTATGGCTTAAAAGCTGGTACATAAATCTGTTAACAGTGATGTCGCTTAATCAAACTATTTTTAACTAAAATAAAAGAGGATTTGATCATGTAATTTTGATTGACCTCTATTTTCATAAAAATATCCTTACTTAGTAATAATTATTTGATCCTCCATTTCTACCGTGCCCATCTTCCTGTAAATCTCGAACATTTTGTTAATCCCATCTCTCCCACTGCCCCTTCCATCTATGTATATGTATATGTACTCCCTATTTGTGACAAGGTAGGCAGCAAAACCTGTAGCGAAACTGTCATAGATTCGATCGGAGTCTGGTCCGGCATAACTACAAACACAAAAAATATCAATAAATCAACTTTCAGGAGTAAATATGACATTTTTTACATCCTATGTACATTTACATACATATCGGATGTTTCGCATAAGGTCCGACACAGAGCATGTAGGGGAATCTGAAATATGGTGATTTAACGCAACTTAACTTTATACTAAGTTGCACTCGTGAGAAGTTATAGGCCTTGAAAGTGGTGTTTCAAATTTCGAAAAAAATAAATATGTCAGTTATACTCGAACTCAAAAAACCAAATTTGGTACACGGTGTGAGTGTACCACGAGCATTAATCGACTATAAGTAGTGTTCAATTGAAGCATTTTGAAGGGTTGATAAGGGATGATGCACCATTAAAATGTGATAGAATTTTTTAACCTGTTGACTTACATATTTAAAATATTATTACTTTATTTTATGGGGAATTTAGTTCTAAAACTTTTCTTACTTTGGTTAGTTTTCAAAAAACTGAAACGTTGGCCACTTATGGCTCTTTATAAAACAAGGCTTTATCATTTCAAAGCCTTTTTAAACGTTTTAGATCGGCAACTAACTATACTTACATATCATCTTAGTAAGGGACACCGTTTAATACTACTTACACATAAACAATGGCAGGATATTTCTTGTCAGATGTCTCGTCCAAATTTGGCGGAAGCAACATTTTTACTCTGGCATTGAACTCATCGTTAATAGGAACTGTTAGTTTTTTAATAACTGGAAGGACCTTAGCTGCTAGTTTTTCACGAAGTGATAAGTTTTCTTGCCATATCAACACATCACTTGCCTATAAATTTTATTAATTACTTTACTATTTTTATAAATACGCAGGATAATCGTTAAATAACAGAAATTGTTATTATAAGAGTGCTATTGAAAGTGTTTGAAATTTTATTTACTCCTTGGTAGCACGCTTGTTCATCTGCCAACAAACTTGAGGTTGCTCTTTACAAACAAACTTTTTGGTGCAGATTTCAAAAATTTTGCGTTGCCACTATTATCGTTTTCATATGTAATCATCTAATCCTGCATTTGTTACTTTTGCTTGTAGATGAGTTTTGGGTATCATTACTAACCAAGAAATAGCAAATCATCGTGAAGATGGAAACATTTACGTTTCACGTTTTATCAAAGATGTCAAAACAAATCAAGATTCGCATCTTCGCTTTGATTGTCCTGTGATATGTCAATGGATCTATTTTGGTATACTTCTAAGAAAAAGTTTAAGCTGTAAAAAATGTTCGATGCAGTGAAATGCTCGTAAAGGATCTGAATATTGAAATTTCGAAAATTTACAGGTGTTACAGAACTCATCGTATTGTTTGAACTTCTTGCTCTCTGTTTGGATCTTTCAAGGTAATTCAAGTTTGTTAAAAACTGAAACAAAAGCTTTTTTGGTAGACCAAATGCGTTATGAATATGCCTTATGAAATAAGACACAATTTATGTATCATTGTCATTAATTTCTTGTTATTTAATGAATGTCCTTTATACAGGGTGTTCCAAAAAGGTTGTGCCAAACTTCAGGATTTTAGAGGGGACATTGTGATGAAAAACTTTTGCATAGAGACCCCTAGTCAAAAGTGAGCCGTTTCGGCTCCAAAGTCATCGTACTTCCTGAGCTATTGGACAATGCACATGTTTCTATGGGTATACGAGCTAGAATGTGGTTGCAACAAAACGGTGCACCTGCACATTTTTGCCGTATTGTACAGGATTACCTAAACCAACAATTTCCTGCGCCATGGATCGGAAGAGGATTTAACCCCATTGGATTTTTTTCTCTGGGGTTACATCAAGTTGTTGGTGTATGAAACTCCCGTTGGCAGCCAAGAGAAATTATTGGGAAGAGTGATGGCAGCCTCTTTTTACGTACAGCAATATCCGCACATCCTCCAACGGGTGCGTAATTCTATGCTTCGAAGAACCATTTTATCTAACGAAGTTGGGGGTCGTCATTTTGAAACTTTATTATAATTTTTTCCTTTATCAGTAATAAACAATGATGTAATATTGACATGTTTTACATTCAAGCAAATCATTTTGAAACTTTATTATTTTTCGTTGTCGGTATGACTCTGGAGCCGAAACGGCTCATTTTTGACTAGGGGTCCCTATGCAAAAGTTTTTCATCACAATGTCCCCTCTAAAATCCGGAAGTTTGGCACAACCTTTTTGGAACACCCTGTATATTCTTGACATATTTTCCCTCCACCTTTAGGTATACAAAATCGTTTTATAAAGATAAAGAGGACTTTTTATATTTCAAAATCATCGTGATCTTGAAGTGACCATATAGCAACTTCAAGATCAAGAAGATTTTGTGGTTCATAAACCAAGTCAACTTCAATCATCAACATGTGTGAAATAAATCCTAAACTGTTTAAGAAAAATAGTACAAATTACAATCGTAATATATTCTTACATTATGTGTGTTTTCCAGCTGGACGTATATTGGATTAGGCCCACTACATACCCTAACGTGGTACGACAGGGACGTACTGAAAGATGCTGCCGCATACTCACATTTATCATCATCTACCACCCACTCGCACGTTAAGCAAGTTTCTTCACCACTAGTGTTTACAACGTAGACCTGTTGCTGAGATGGAATATCCTCTGCAGATCCAACGTAATATCTAAAAGAACTTTCTGTTAGATACGTAGTAGAGTATGTTGAGAAGAATTATACCAGACATTAACCACTAGCAATTTTAAAACATGAATACATATTAAATTTCCATCAGGGTAACTGTATTAGTAGGTACGTATATATATATATANTTACTAAGGCGATTTTTTGCAGATCGTGTTCTTTTGAAATGTAGATTCACTGGTATCATTTATGCTACTCCATTCAAAAACACCCTATATATATATATCACGATAAACAATTTTTCCCTTGTTTTGTTGACTTTTATGAAATGACTGATTACAGCCCCACAGGAAAAAAAATCATTGTATGATAGACTAGACCACCATACTTAGATTTTTTGGGGTCGCTGTTTTGGAATCCGTTGTCCGTTTGGCGAAGTTAGCTCATATTCAAGGTCACTTGAAGGTCAACTCTTGTTTTTTTTTCTTTGGGGACGTGGTGATTTATTTTTTCATTTTCAAGATCATTTGAAGGCAAATCCCCTTACCCAATATCTCAGGATATCGGGAAAATGACCTCTACAAAAGTTGTTTGGATCATTATTAGGGACAACCATCTGGTGACTTTGAAGACCATGATTAAGGTTATTTCACGGACAACTCTTGTGTTTTAAAGGTAGTAGATATGGTACGGTAGTAGGATGGAACATGTCACACATCTCCTTTCGGGCAGGTAGGATTTCAAATATCTTCACTACGAAACTATAGACACAATCTGAGAATATGTAGGAACAAATTCTAGAATAATCGTTGCTATTTTTAAACCCTCAGATGGATCAAGGGAAGGAAGGTGCAGGATATGGAATTTACTCTAGACACTTGCATATCCGATATCAGTGGGCAACACTATGGGTAAAATGATCAGAATCCACATATCATATAGTAGACAGGAATTACTGATCTTACGTAATCATAAGATAATGGACTAGGTCAGTATGGGAATGTTACCAGGCACCGGTGGTGGCCTCAGTTTCCACCAGGATATCTGTATGCTGGGTCAAAGGACACAAGCGGTGCAATGGCAATAAAGGAGTTGGACACTGTTGGCTAAAGAAGCACCTTCACAACATGAGGAAGTGTGAAACATCTTTTTGTAGGAGTTGTGACCAGGATGACGAGACAGTACTACATGTGCTGTGTGAATGCACTGCTGTCTCGTCAAGAAGAGAATCCTTGTTGGGAGAACGTTGGCCTCCTATAGTCAATATTAGAGAGAGCAACCTTTTTCCTTTTAATACGTTGGTTAACGGCTCAGATGAATTGATCTCCTAATGGGAGAAAGTACAAAGGACCAAATAGGGCCTAAGTGTTGTACCTTTTTATCTACCCTCCCTACAGATTTCAGATTCCAGATTCCAGAAGCCCTCAAAATAATGAAAACTAAATCTCACCTTACTCCAGGTAAGTGGTGGTGCCAGATGATACAAACAACTTTTATAGAGGTAATATTCCCGATATCTCGTTATCCTGACAACATACCTGAGAAGTTCCAGAGGGGGATTTGTCCCTCAAAAAACCTTCAAATAACCTTGAAAATGAAAAAATTACTCAATCACGCCCATAACGCAAAATTTCTTGCTCTTCTGAATCCGGTGTCAGAAATTGTATTATCCACAAAAAACAAGAATATACCTTCAAATAACATTGAGCATGAGCTGACTTCGTCAAACGGCCACCGGATTCGGATTCAGCAACCTCAAATACGTTTGGGTATGGTGGTTTAGTCACACATCACATTGACTTTTTCCCGTGGGTATGTGTGATTAAAACTTTTAGACAAATAGAAAATTTAGATTAAACGGTTTGTGATGGTAATTTGAACTTAAATTTGTGTTTGGTCAGTGTTCCCTAAATTCAACTGAAATCATTGTTCATGTGTAAGATGGTGATCTGTCTTTCTGTGGAGGGTAGTCCAAGCTACATTTTTATATAGTAAAAGTAGTATTTGCAGAGGAAAAAGGAAAATGTAATGCTAAAAAGTCTGTGATTTATTGTTCAGGCAACATGAGGGTAAATGTGCGTCTAAAAACTACAACAAAACATAGACTTAAAATTAAAAATAAACATTTACCGAACATAAGATGAACTAAAAAAAAAACGCCGTAAAATAATTTAAGAAACAAAAAATAATTAATTCTTAGTCAGATTCTGGAGATGTGGGACACTGATAATAATGAAAAAACTGGGCCTAACTAATTGTCAGTGCTTTTATGCAAACGGTTGCTGTATACGAAAAAAGGAGATAAACTATGATATTTTGCTGTACACATGTCTTATCCAAACTGGTCCGACTTCCCCCCACTGAGTCGATTAATGAACCGATGAATCTGTTTTTTAATTTTGCACTATTATACATATAATTGTTAAACAAAAGTATTACTTTCAATTTGTAATGCAAAGGATTAGTTACTTTCCTGTTATCTTTGTTATAAGCCTAAGCCTTTTATACTGGCAATAAAAATGAATTATTGTATTTTTTTAAACTAATCTAAGTGTCCTCGACTACTACATTATTAAAATAATAGCATATCTGTACCCTTCTTCAGTTATGCGGTGCAATATAACATGCAAGAACAGAACTTTCAAACAAACATTTTAGGTATAACAATACGTAAGTCCCGCTATTGACATTCAAAAAATACTCACATCAAACCCCGATCTTCATCCCAACCATAAAGTGAAGTTACACGTTTTTTTCCGTGAGTGAGTCTGGTTTTATTCTTTGTTGTAATATCAGTAAGTACTATATGGTAATATCTATCATCGCCTTCAGGTTGTGGCAAAATTTCCAGTTTCTGGGTACCGTCCTTGCTATATTTGGGTATTTTCGCGTCTAACCAACCATTTTCCTCTGTGTAACTCTCTTCCTACAAAAATTACATAGTAACACAAAAGCTGCTAGTCTAAATAACTGGACAAGTACCTCTTCACATAATCCGTCTAATGTACATCTAATAATGATCGACTCGTTTTGAATTCTGTTGGTTGAAATCATGGCGATTTCCGTATTAGAAACCCAGGACAGGTCGTACAACACATAGTCATTAGTTTCTTTGTTATCTATTGAAGATGGAAGTTGGAATTCTACGGTAGTGTTTGCGTTTATGTCGTATAAGTACACAATCACAAGTGGATTCGTGGTTCCTACCTAAAATAAAATTGTCGTTGGTGGAGTGATGTTCATCCTAATTTCACTATTCCGACTCGTGGTCAGTACTCATTTAAAACAAATGATGGTGTGGGATTTATAAAGATATAGTAATTGGACCATACTTTTTTCATGTTATATTAAATAGAGAACGTTATTTAAATTTCTTAAATATTTTTCGTCAAATTGATAATGAAAAAGTCACCTATTTATAGACAACCTGGGAGAATGGACAAAAAAATAGAAGGACATTACGAATCTAAACTTAGACTTAATTTTTAATTCCAAGTAGCATTTTCCCATTACATTTTTCTCTAAAATAAAAATTAATTGTGCTTTTCCCTTGTCAAATTTAATTTTTGGCCACCCAGTATATGCTATCTCAAGTTTGAAAAATTTATTACCATTTTTTCAAAAAGCAGAACTTTTTATAAAGAATACCTTTTTTTCGTAAAATTGATATAAAGAAGTTACCCATTTGTAGAGAACTTAAAGGTATAAACATATTGCATTTTCTGCAACGACCAAATTATTTATTATGTTTTACAGCCACATTCTAAACAGGCACGTATTCTACGAATTCAAGTGTCTGGTATAGGCTGAAAAATTTCCTTATGATTCCTATTACCTAAGCAGCGGCAAAAATTATTTCCTGGTACCCAATTAAAGCCTAAATGATTAGTATTCGTTTGATTGGCAAATCTGTCTTTTTGTCTGCAATGAGAATTTTACGTTATGGTCATCGTTCAGAGCCAGGGATAATACAAATAACCTAATATACAGGGCGTTAATGAACTTATGTCAAAAATTTAAAGGTGTGAAAAAGTAGCAAAACCTGAGTTAACTGATGTCACAAACTTGTATTGGAAGTTTAAGGTCATAGAAAAAAAACCTAACAAAAATGTGTTTAAAACTGTTTTGGAACTGCTGAAATACATGTATTTTGTCGCGGCGAGTACTTAAAAAAAATTCTGTAACACTTTTTACGAGTTTGTACGTTTCTTATGAAGCCGGACTGTATTAGAAAATCAGTTTGTAATACCTGTTATAGTGATTGCTGTGCTGTTTTTCGAGAGAACATTTAATAGCTGTATTTCCAAGTTTTCTTTTGAAAATGGCCCATTTATTTAGCAATCGCGAATACTATGATATGCTCATAATTTATGGCCAAGCAAACGAAAATGCTCACAGAGCTTATCAGTGTACCATGCAAGATATCCTGAACTACGTGCACCAGAAATATCGCACAGCAAGTAAATATTTTGCATCCTGTTGTATGGCGGACATTACGAGAAACTCAGCAGCCTAGTTAGATGCCCCCTACCCCCCCCACCCCTTTACACTTCTTTTTGTGGTGTTATGTATCCAACGGAAGTTCGTGACATCGGCCAACTGCGACATCGAAGCTTTTAATACGATTGAGAGGACGTGGCAATGTTGCAAACCGTCCGAGCGAATTGGATATGTCGCGCTGAAGCTTGTGTGCAAGCAAATGGTGGGTATGTACATCGAACATCTATGAAAATCAGTAGTTCTCAAAAGGTCATTCCTTGCAATGTTGAAGTAAGTCAGATTTTAAAATTACATTTTACTTAACACAAATCCGTGTATTTACCTCATTTTGAAATAACGAACATGTGACAAAAATATTTGACATAAGTTCATTAACACTCTGTATTAGTGTATCTGGGTACCGGTTACCAAACATACAAGAGTTGTATTTTACTTCTCCACAAATTGTGATATTTACGTATGGTAAACACAATATAACCAAAATATTGCACACATAGTTGTACAGTACTAATCTGAATATAATCAACCAAAAGGCACGATAAG